TTACATTAAAAAACCTGCAGGGAATGGCTATAGACACCGGAACCACTTCATTAAGCTGTTGTGTTTCTGGGGACTATAGTGTTTCTTTAATGTGAGGTAAATTAGAGCTTAGTGCCATGAATAATATACTAGATTGCCTTCTTACAACCAGATGAGGATGGTGATGGGCTCTGGCTGCAGTTTGGCTCCACTGGTCTGGTGTAGAACAGGATCTCTGGAGGCTATTTGTAAATGTAGTCATAAAAATCAATGTGCTGGGGGAACGGGAAGCAGCTCCATTTTTTGACGTCATATTCCGGCTCCAGGAGACCGGCATCACTCTGCGGCGCACGAGGGAGCTGAGCAGAGAGCTCACTAATTAGTGCTTCCCCCGCCAGCACCGCCTGCCCGCCCAGCAGCACCACTGGACCTCAGGGAAAGGGACATCCCCCCACCCAGCATTCCCAAAGGTAAGTGAGTGTGTTAATGTGAGTGAGTGTGTTTGTCTGTTAGTGTGTGTGTGTGTGTGTGTCTGTTAGTGTGTGTGTGTCTGTTAGTGAGTGTGTGTGTGTCTGTTAGTGAGTGAGTGTGTGTGTGTGTCTGTTAGTGAGTGTGTGTGTGTCTGTTAATGTGTGTATGTCTGTTAGTGTGTGTTTGTTAGTGAGTGTGTGTGTCTGTTAGTTAGTGTGTGTCTGTAAGTGAGTGTGTGTGTGTCTGTTCATGTGTGTGTCTGTTAGTGAGTGTGTGTGTGTCTGTTAGTGAGTGTGTGTTTGTCTGTTAGTGTGTGTGTGTTAGTGTGTTTCTGTTAGTGTGTGTGTGTGTGTCTGTTAGTGAGTGTGTGTGTCTGTTAGTGAGTGTGTGTATGTCAGGGAGTGTGTTACTATGTGTGTGTCTGTTAGTGAGAGTGTATGCGTGTCTGTTAGTGAGAGTGTATGTGTGTCTGTTAGTGAATGTGTGTGTCTGCTAGTGACTGTATGTGTCTGTTAGCTAGTGTATGCTTGTCTGTCAGTGAATGTGTGTGTGTGTATTTAGAAGGCGGGGCAGGGGGGTGGCCTGAGTTTTATCATGCCTAGGGCAGCACAAAACCAGGATACACCACTGACAGACACAAACATACATTCATAATGACATGCAGACATACATACATTCATACATACATACTGACATACATACATACATTCATTCAGACATGCATACAGACACTGACATCCATACACACATACATACACAGACATACATTCATACTGACATACATTCATACTGACATACATTGATACTGGCATACATACATACATGCATACTGACACTGACATCCATACACACATTCATAATGACTTACAGACATTCATTGATACTAACATACATACACACACAGCATGGATTTGAAGAGGGAGAGCCACGCCGACTCCCATCAGCCCCAGTCACCATCCTGTTTCTTACCTATTCTTTGCAGGAGGGTGGCTATGGCTGATGGGAGTCGGTGTGGCTCTCCCTCTTCACTGCCTGGCTGTCTCTCCTCCCGTGCGGAGTGAGCTGGGAGTAAGTGACCACTTCCTCCCAGCAGCACTTGCACTGCTGCTGCATTTTTAAAATATTTTTTAAAGGGGCCCGGTCGCGCTTTAACATGGTCACAGCGCTGACTGGGCCCCTGACGATATAGGGCCCATTGGGTGGCCCTAAGTGCTTGGGCCACCCGATAGGCCCCAACAGCGTGCAAGGGCTGCCTGGCCCGTGTCAACCGTCATGGTTGTCACCCCCTAATGGCGGCCCTGTCTCCAGCACACAGACACACTGCATCCCCAACACACAGACAGACTGCATCACCAGTACAGAGACACACTGCACCCCCAGCACACACACAGACACACACTTCATCCCCTGCACACAGACACACTGCATCCCCAGCACACAGACACACTGCACCCCAGCACACATACAGACACACACTGCATCCCCTGCACGTGCACAGACACACACTTCATCCCCAGCACACACAAAGACACACACTGCATCCCCAGCATACACACAGACACACACTGCGTCCCCAGCACAGGCACAGACACACACTATATCCCCTACACAATTCACTACACATACAGTATAACACCGTGGATGTGGGTGTGTTTTGGTGGGCATGGTTTAGTAGTGCTTGGAATGCTTAAATAACTTTTGCTCCTCATTTTTTTTTATTAAGAGTAAAGGCAAAAGGAAAACGCTTACAATCCATCATTCTAAACAACGTTCTCAATTTAATAAACCTTCCAAATAATTTGATTCTGTTACAAAAACTTACCAAATGGTTTGTCTACAGTAGTCACTATTAATGTCTATGTATAGTTTTGAAGATAAATAATTTGGAACAGTTTTTCTAACAATATTGAATCATTTGGAAAGCTTATTAAATTGAGGAATAAAAGTTCTCTCTTATTCCCCCCATATAATCTGATATTGGCATCTGTGGTCATTAGGTTAGGCAATATTGTAGCCATGTTTGCATGTCAGCAGAGTCATGGTCCCCTTTTTATTTACTATTGTTCTGGTTTGTTGGAAAATTAGTTAGTGTTTCTTGGTACCCAAATTTGTCCAAACGTAACAGCTGAATTAACGAAATTATGTTAACCCAACAAAAAAAAATCTTGGTTTGGAAGAAACAACATTTTTGCGTTTACATACTTCAGTGGAGAGTTTTCTGTTTAGTAATCTATTACTCTACTAAGCTGATTCAGCCCTTCATATATATATATGTTCTTTATTGGTTGTTTGGATATAAAACTTTAGAGCATTGGCAGTAAGATTGTTAGAACGTTGCATATTTATATCCATTATCACCCAACCCTTTTATTATGTTGTAGGAGAAGATCTCTGAGATTTACATAGATTGAGACTATTATGGGTGAGAAGGACACGCTGATAGGTGAAAGTGTTCAGAGCTGTTTATATATATATATACATACTCATTTTTATTAAGTAAAACATCAAAAAGTCCAGACCATGTATTATACAAAGTGTGGTAAAATAAACTAACATAACATTTGTTGAAAATGAATGACATATGTCCATCCCCTAAGTAGGTTTAATATGTGTAGTGGAAAAGTTAATACTCACTGGAGAGACCCTATTTAGTAAAAGTATTGCTAATATGTGGGATTCCAAAAGATTTGAGGTCAGGGGTGGACAATCTGCAGCCCTCCAGATGTTTTGGACTACATTTCCCTTGATGCTTTGCTAGCATTATGGTCCTAAGAGCATGGGATATGTAGTCTAAAACATCTGGAGGGCCACAGTTTGCCCCCCCTCCCTCCGCCCCCGCTCTATGTG